CTGTTTTTATGAAGTTGGGTGCACCAGAGTTTGGTGAATATATGTTCATGACTGTAATATCTTCTTGGTCTGTTGTTCCTTTGATCAGAATGAAGTGGCCCTCTTTATCTCCTCTGATTAGTTTTAGTTTAAAGTCTATTTTATCAGATATTAGAATTGCAAGGCCTGCTCTTTTCTTAGTACCATATGCTTGGTATAGTGTTTTCCATCCTTTCACCTAAAGATGGTGCCTGTCCTTGAAAGTAAGATGAATTTCTTGCAGACAAAAAAAAGATGGGATTTGTTTCTTAACCCGTTCAACTAGTCTGTGTCTTTTGACTGGGGTGTTCAGTCCATTGATATTTAAGGTTAATAATGAAAGACATGTCTTGATTCCTGTCGTTTTGATTTCTGTTCGGATTCTTGGTGTAACTGTGGGTTTCCACAGTTATACCTTCATTATGTTTCTTTCTGTTACCCCTTGGGTATAGTTGTTCCTTTCTTCAGCTCTTCGTATTGCTTCCAGAACTTTCGGAAGAGCTGGTTTTGTGGACATGGATTCTTTCAGTTTATTTATGTCATGGAAGATTTTTCTTTCCCCTTCGACTATAATAGACGTTTTGGCTCTGTAAAATAACCTGGGTTGGCATCTGTGGTCATTTAGAACTGGGACTACTTTGGTCCAGGCTCTTCTGGCTTTCATAGTTTGCACTGAAAAGTCAGCTGTAATCCTGATGGGTTTTCTTTTTTATGTGACTTCTTGTTTTTCTTTTGCAGCTTTCAGTATTCTCTCTTTGTTCTATACATTTAGTGTTTTTACTATGGTGTGCCATGGTGAGTTTCTTTTCAGGTCCTGTCTATTTGGTGTTCTATATGTTTCTTGAATTTGTATGGGCATGTCTTTCTTTAATTTGGGAAAATTTTCTCCACAGTTCTGCTAAAAATCTGGTCCATACCATTTTCCTGAGATTCTTCATAAGTTTGGTCTTTTTATGGCATCACACAATTCCTGCATATTCCATTCGTGTGATTTCTTAAATTTTTCATAATCTTTGTGTGGTCTAGTTCATCCACTTTATCTTCCAGTCTTGATATTCTGTTTTCCAATTCATTCATCCTATTGGTGAGGCTTTCTCCTGTCTAGGCTTTCTCCTGTCATTTCTAATTGGTTTACTGAATGTTTCATTTCCTTCTTCATTTCAGCCTGAGTATTCTTCAATATTTCTAACTCTTATGAATTCATTCAGAAGTTTATCCCTATCTTCTTTCAGTTCTTTTATTTCTTTGTATGTTCTTTAAATTCACTGAATTCTTTTATCATATTTATAATTGTTCTTTTGAGTTTCATGTCCTGTGTTATCTCTAAGGTGTTCTCATTGTACTCCTATAGAGGACTGTTGGTACTTGGTGGGGATATATTATTTTGGTTTTTCATGTTATTATTTTTTCTCTGTGACTTTGACATGTGGATTTCTTTTGTAGTTTCTGATTCTTGTGTGAGACTCAAGTCTTCCTTTGTGGAGTTTAGGTCTGTTTCTTTTTGTAAACTTTATGTGCCTTTGTGGTTTACTTGTTGGGCATGAAAAGCTGATTGGTCTAGGCTCCATGTTCTCTCTTTTGATTTTATATTCGAGCAGGCAAATTGTTTTCATCTTGCTGCTCAGGAGTTCCCACGGAGGCCAAAGTCAGATGAGGAACAGATGCCCTCAGGCTTTCTCTTAAGGTCTGGATCCCTCCAGGAAAGATGCTAGCTTCAGGAATTTCGGGACTGGGCTGGCCTAGGAGCAGGGGGATGGGGGCAGGGATGCTGGCCCCAGGAAGCTGGCAGCTCTGCCGCCTGCCCAGGGATGCAAAGGGATATGGGGGCAGGAAGAGGCCCTGAGGAATCCTGGGAACTACAGGGAGGAATTGGGTTGGTCTGAATGCAAGGGATCAGGAAGCACTGGGGATTCTGGGCCGAGAGGTCAGTCCAGGGGCCTGGGGTGCCAACATAAGAAATGGGTCAGTGCCCAGTCTAGGAGGAGAGATGGGTTGGGGAAGCTGGGAGGGTGAATGAGGCTCGGGGAGTCAAGGGGTGGCACAGCCGAACTTACCCAGGAAAATGCTGACCTCAGGAAGCTGGTGGCTATGCAGCCCAGGGATGCAAAGGGAGGTCGTCAGTGGTTTGTTTTCTATGGAGGAAAGATTACACTTAGAGAAGCAGTGCTTCATGTCTGGGGTCCAGGGCACTGATGGCTAAACCATAAAGTCTCAGATGACATTGGAGGTAGAGATAATGGGAAGTTACCGGTAATGAATATGGTGAATTCATGAAGACAAAATAGAAAAGTTTTTGTTTCTTTAAGCAGACATTGTAGACTCAAATTTTGACTCTATGGGTTGGAAATCTTGACTGACCACTCATTTTTTATTTTTTATTTTTGATGTATATGTTTTGCCTGCGTGTGTATATGTGCATCATGTACATGCCTAGTGTCTTCAGGGCCCAGAAGAAGGCACTGGATCCACTGTAACTGAAGTTACAGGTGGTAGTGAGCTGCCATGTAGGTGCTGGGGATCAAGCTTGGGACCGCTGCAAGACCAGCAGTTGTTCTTAATTAGTGAGCCATCTCTCCAGCTTCTTAAACTTAGGTTTATCACTGACCTCCTTTGATGCCTTAGCTGTACAATGACACTAATATCTTAGAGGAGGACAGTGATTACGATTATAAAGTATACAGCACGTAGGTAGTGCTTCACTTCCTTCTTTCACTGTATTACATACGGGGTGAGATCTGAACACCATGTAGCCAAAGATTAAAATCACAAAATTACAAATAACCACAAAAATATGGATGGACACTCTAGCTGATTTTATTAATAATAATTTCACCTTGAGCCCCTTATTAATTTATCTTTAAATAAATCACATTTCCACAGTTATTCACAAATTTATTAACTCTTTGTTGAATTTTCATTATGACTCTATATCAAATGAGGCTCTATGGAAAACAGAAAAAGTAATGTTGACATTTCTATCTTCTGTCAAACCACAGCCTATTCACACATAAATAAAATAAACACCACATGGTGACAGTCAATACCATAGATGAATATCCAGATGAAGAAATGAATAACTCTACCTGCCACAAAATGCTAGACATATTTATTAAGCACTTAATATGCCCCAAAATATTTTAAATACTTTATATATGTCAACTATTAAGCATCCCAACAGTACTATCACATAGTTGCTACCATTACTTCTATTTAGCATAACAGCAAGCTGAGGCATGAGGAGACCATGTCCCCGTATTAGTTACTTTTCTGTTGCCGTGATAAAAACACTGATGAAAGCAACTTATAGAAAGAAGAGGTTATTTGAGCTTATGGTTCCAGAAGGATTAGAGTCTGTCATGGCAGGGAGGCATGGTGGCAGGAGGTAGCCAGAACAGAAAGAGGAGTGTTCACATCTTGAAGCAGGCACAGGAAGCCGAGAGCAACAGGAAATCAGGCAAGGCTTCAGAACTCTCTAAGATAGCCCAGAGATGTGCCTCCTCTGGCATGACCACACTGCCTAAAGTCTCCCAAAACTGAGGACAAAATATCCAAATACATGGAGTCTGTGGGGGACATTTTCACTTAAACCACCACATCCCTTAACCAAACTCACACAGCTAAGAGACAGAGTCAGAGACTCAGTATAACCATTGCAATCATTAACTCACAACAACCGTGGTTACCTGCACTGGGCCCACACAAGACTGGCCCTGTTAGCAATCAGTCATGGAACGGAAGTGCTCTTGCGGTTCTTCTCTTTACAGTTAAAATAGTGGCTATTGGTAGATTCTGGGAGAGGAGGATCATTGTCTTTATTTGTATGCCCACTGCTGAGCTCACTAGTTTCCAATGGATACCTCCAAACCCATGGTCAAATAGATGACCTTGGTTTAACAAACAGACAAAAAAAAAAATAGACATAAGTGTGTGAGAGAGATTCTTGGGGAGGAGGTAGACTGGCCAGGGGTAGTAGGGAGGTAGGAGAGGATGAAGGTGAGAGTGGTCAGTAAGAATTGCGTACATGTGTGAAAGTGTCTAAGAACAAAAATCTTAATTGAGAGAGAGGGAGAGAGACTGAGAGACTCGGGGGGTGAATCCAGGCATTCCAGTTCCACAACCCAAATGACAGTATCCTGCAGATGTTAGGAGATACTTTATAAGAAGGAAGTAGTGAAACTCATATGCAGTTTTCAAGACAGAATAGAAAATCAGTACAAAGTGAATAGCATGAGTCAGGTTATATAAGCTCAGTTTTGGAAGATAACTAAGCAATGGCTAGAGATAAATTAGAGAAACAGACCAAACTTAGAAGCCAAGGCTGATAATGCAGCCTTTGCACTAGCCTCTCTCATTTTCTCTCCCAGTTTTACTGTTAGAGTTGAGCTCTTTAAATGATTCTTCCTGTGACTCCAAAACCAATTTTCTGCCTTCCTCTTTGGTCTCTTTTAGCTCAACAGCTAGCTTTGTTAGCTCATCAGAACAATTATCCTATGAGGGATAATCATGGAACTGCCCGCTTTTAATAAACCAGCTGTTTTAAAATACCAACTGTTTAATGTTATTTGAATGACCACTCAACACTGGGTATTTAAAATGATTCTGGGTATTTGACCATGTGGTTAAATAGAGGTTCCATTTTCGCAATATCACAAGAGGCTACGTTGTAATGAATTGATCATTCTGATGGAAAACCATTACCATGAATTTTATAATAAGGAGATAAGATAGATATTTGGCTTAATGAACTTGGAGATTTGGAAAGCCCACATTCTGCGAAATTCCTAAAAAGGAAATTTCAAGGAAGCAAATATTAAGCTCTCAATATGCTTATTTCAGGCAATATTTGCCTTTTGGTAAATCTCTACCAACAAAGGCTATGGAAATATAGCAGAAATGTGATGTGAGGCAGTGTTCAGAGCTGTTGAATAAATCACATGCCTGGATGGTATCCAGGATGATCCAAGATCACTCTTTTCTCATGAGACATCAAGGTGAGAGCATTCATTCTAGTAACAGTCATGAGAAGTGTGGCTCATTTACTAAAATGACTTACTTTTAAAGGATGATGTAGTCTGTGGAAGCAACTAAAGAGACAGCCAATACTAGGAGAGGAATTGTTCTCCAGGATGGAGAAAACTGCGTTCATTGGTTAAGTTCAGGATACTAGGGAAAGAAAATAGAAGATTCATGAGGAAATAGGAATCAGAGATCAGCCATACTTTAAAAGAGAAAAAAAATGGCTCAAAATTGCAGATTGGAGACTTTAAATAGGAATGAAATAAGGAGGCAGCATTTTATGGAAGGGGGGTGGTATTCATGGTGGTTCACAAGGCTAAGGAGAGCTAAGTATTCAGCTGCTAGCTAGCCTCCTCTGCTCGGTGAAAATGAGAATAAAATTTGCTAGTTTTGGCTAAAAAAACAAGATTCACCTTTGTTTCTGTCCTTCCCTTCTCAGGTTCACCCATCACCTGGCCCCGTTGATGCTGCTTCCAACAAGGTACCTACACAGCAGATTCAGAAGCCTCCATTTCCAGTGCCATAACCATAGACAAACCCACAGTTGTCCCCAGACTGGGCCCCTTGCAAAGGCTTCCCAGCTGTTCTCCCCACTTTCTCAATCTAGTCTCCACACATCTGCCAGAGAGAGATTACTAAACTGAAAACTGACTCTAGCGCCCCATGGCTATTTGAACACAATAAAATCCCTTAATCTGCCAAGTCTATTTTAGGTCTGTCCCAGCCTCATGGACCATTCTCTCCTGCTCTGTGGTTTAGTCATGTTGACTCTTTTTCCATTTTTCAAATACTCTGAGGCCTTTTGCCAGCCTGCTGGTTCTCACTGAAATTCTCTTCCCTGGCTGATTCCTTTAGTTAGGTATGTGTGAAGTGCTACTTCTTTGTCTAGAAGCCTCAGGCTAAATGTCTTCTTTTCAAAGAGTCCCCCAGTGACCTTCTTGTCCATGAAACTATCTTGACGGTTACACTAAAGGAGAAATTTGGAGGTAAGATAGACTAAAGAAACTGTCTAATTTCAAATCCCAGAGCCATCGTTTTTACAACTCCCAAGCAAGTGAACATAATTGTTCTGTACCTGTTTCCCAGGCAAAAAATGGAAATGATGACATCGTTATTCAGAGGTTTCTTGGAAGGGTTAAATAAATCAATAAGCACATGGAACTTATAACAGTATCTGGTCCATACAAATATTTGTTGTCATCATAAACACCCTCGTTGCATCCCTCAGTTTCTTCGGTTGGTTTGTACTTAAGCTCATCATCTGGTTAATTTTCTATATCATAATTCTGAGAGAGCAGAGAACTGGTCCATAACCCTACTACCTATAAAATTCGGTATGTAGGTTTGGGGAAAGCACAAATTGTGTTGAGAAAGCTGAACTCACTGACAGGGTGACCTCAGGAAGAGCACCTGACAGATGGAAAACAAAATAATTCCCATGATGGAAGCCTTCATAAGGATCCATTCATAGACAGTGAGTGAATATGAAAAGATAGGAAATTTGGGTACATAAGGAAGCATTTCAGTTTGGGGGGAAAGTAAAATTAAAATGCAGCTATTTTAGCCTAGTGACCATGGGTAGAGGACAGATGGAGGTAACAGGAAGTGAGAAGGCAGAAAGTGAGAGAGAAGCAATGTATCAAAAAGAGTCGTTGATGAGGAACTGACTTTATTGAGCATCAGATAAAGGTATCAGGAAGTGAAAATGCCAAGCTAGAAGGTAGGGTCACTACTGAGAGTAGAAGAGGATCCCAAAGTCAGTCAGTAATTCTGTGAGGATAGGAAAGAAACAGCCCAATGGTAACTTGAGTTTCTCTAGAAAGAAACTGATAGTGTTGGGGGCAGGGGGATCATCCAGAGCAGCAATGAAGAATGATGAAACTGACAAGCACTCAATCCTGGTCCCACAATGAAAGAAAGGGGACATCCTGAAGTGGAGATGGAGGATGGAGCAGACAGGAGGAGCACGGTAATAAAGAAGAGGCAGAATGGGTCTTGGGTAGATCGGATTAATGTCAGCGTTAAAGAGATACATACCAGGATGTTGCAACAATCAGATTCCTAGGTTTTATGTTCTGCTTTAAAGGGACTGGGCAGCATAGACCAAGCTTTAGTTCAATCCAGATGCCATTTCTGGTGTACTGTGATGCAGTCTTCTGAAGGTGGTTTAGCGTTTCTTGCTTCATCTCGATCTTTCCCCATTTTTCTCCAGCTTAGAGATAGACACAAATGTTCTGCTACTGATTAAAGCACATTTCCTGTAGGCCTTCCTAGGAGATAGCAGGAGTGAAAGAGAAGAAAAGTAGTCCATATTTAGGAGGGAGAAAGCACCAGAGGCTGTTGACAACATCATCACTCACTACCTAGGGGAAATCTCAGGCTGGAATATGTCTCAGCAGATGCAGGAAATTACCCTGTTTCCCATCCTACCTCACATGGTCTGCCTGGAAAACCTCTTCAGAACCAAGCCAACACTAGAGTCCACATGGCCAGATCTCAGGGACTACTTGGGAAGAATTCTAGTACTCAGCCCTCCCTCATGTTGAGCAGTAGGTCAGGTGAATTACTTCAAATAGATGCAAGGCTCTCTGTTTCCATGGTAACTGTTCTCAGAACCGTAACAATGTCAATCATAGAAACGGTGAAATCATAACTTGAACCCATCTTGGTGACAAAGATATCTTGGGATGTAGCCAGTGCTCAGTGTCAGACTTCTAGCCTTTCATTCTGGGGAGAATGTTTTGTTTATGTCCCATCAGTTATAGGAATAAGGGGAAAGGTGGTTAGTCATTTTTCCTCCTGCTTCGCTGGGCCGACCTCTGTCTGTATTTTGCTGATATGCTTGTAACTCATTTTCCCTGCTTGAAATTACAGATGGAACAATTCATTTTTCCACATCCCTTTCCTGCATAGGTGTAAGCACTTGAAGACGAAATATTGATTTTTTTTCCTATAAACTATAAAAAATGGGGAACTGCTTGTTCATTTTCATTACATTGTATCAGTTGTTTTAATTTATTTGGGCCTATTTTGATAAAGCAACCACAATATCTGGAGATGAAGTTCTAATCCAAGGGTCTTGAAATAGGATCCAGCATCCTTTGTCTGTACCAAGAATGGGGAAAACATTCAGTGGAGACTCTTCAGCTAAACGGAGGAGGTGAAGAATAATTCTTATTTGTTCCTTTACTACTCATGCAAAATCTATATTATGGATTCTATATTCTGTGATATCTCACAGAAATAATATAGTAAGATAACATACTCATAACTCCTACTGATAAATCTCATCATAAATAAATAGAAGTTTTTTGAGCACATTATCTTTGAAAATCTGTTGGTTATTTTATTTACTTAATTTTTTAAGGCAAATTCTAGGATACTCTCATACTACGTGATGTTTTATCTTTGTTTTATTTTCTAAAGAATCTCTGAACAAAAACCATTTCTGTGAGTTTATTAGAACCTTCAGTTTGGATACTGGATTGCTGCAAAACCAATATTTTTTACATTTTTCTTCTTAATAACATTCTTTGATCCAGAGAGAACTAAAAAAATAAGCTATTTGATGTCTAAAATTACAGAGATAAACTGACATTGTGTTCAGAAGGTGTCTTTTCAAGAGAAAAATGGAATTTTTAAAAAATGTAATCAAGTTATACGGAGCTTCTCACCCCGCAGGTCATTGGTTCAGATTTGTCTGAGGTTGGAAAGTTACACAAAGTTGTGGTGGCAGCTGAGCTCTTGGTGCTCCGTGAGAAATGAGCTGAAGGTCCCAGGGAGGTCACTGCTTTGCTGCCAAGGCCCATAATGGATACCCATGAGTTCTCCAGGGAATACCAATTCCAGCAGAAGGCCATGGAGAGCCCTCTCTGCGGGGGTCCTATGTTTGGAAATTTATGTTCTTAAACTCTCTAGGGAGTAGGAGATGCTTTCAGTTGTTCTAGAAAGTCTCTTCACAGCACTCCACTTAATTCATGCAGTTGAGGGGGGGAACCCTGAGGAGGATGGAGACAAATGCGTAGGGGAAAAAGGAAGGAAGAAAATAAGAGGAAAATAAAAACTAGACAAGCAAAACAGAAAGAAAAAGATAAGAGGCAGAGAAAAATAAGAAAAAAGAGAAGGGAAAAAGGAGGGAAACAGAAAGACATGATGGAGGAGTGGAACATGTGAAATCCAATCCAATGTTAACGAGTAGAAAGAGCTCCCTTCTAACAGGGATTCTGTGTGTGTGTGTGTGTGTGTGTGTGTGTGTGTGTGTGTGTGTGTGTGCATGAGCACGCGCCCAGGCACGCATGCGTGTATATGTATATGTTAGTCATTATTCTCACCACAAAGACTCAAAGATCGTCCTTATACAGGAGTCTCACATTTAACATTTGCCAAATATGGTCAAAATTCCAGGCTTAATAAGCCTGTCCAAAGAAAGAAAGTTAGTGGGAAAGATAACTTAATTTGCATTCCAATCCTACAGGGAAAACATCCCAGAGAAGTCGCATTCAACTGTGTGTTAATAGCTTCAAGAAAGAAATCCCACATTGAGAGAGAGAGAGAGAGAGAGAGAGAGAGAGAGAGAGAGAGAGAGAGCTGGCTGGCTATAAAATTCCTACAACCCAAATGGACCTCTGCTGACCACACTCTGTGGAAGGAAGCAGCAATTTAAAGAGGCATGATGTGTCTGAAATCCATACTTTCGTAAATATATATGGATTTTCCCTCTGAGGGGAACCAGATCTCTATCTACTTCAAGAACTTAAAGACAAGTAGATATGCTTTGGTCTACAGAGACGAATTAATTATGGAAAAATGAGAATCGGACAAAATTTTATATAAAGAAATAATAACTAATACTCAGAAAGTAAATGGGGTATGCTGTGATAGATGACAGACAGTGGAATTTGGGGGTTCTTTAAATATTTTATTTATTTAGTATTTTTTTATTTTGTGTGTATGAGTGTGTTGCCTGCATGGAAGTGCACCCATGTCATGCAATGCCCACAAAGGTCAGAAAAGGGCATCAGATACCCTGGAACTGGAGTTATGGATGGTTGTTAGCTGCCATGTGGGTGCTGGGAACTGAACACAAGTCCTCTGCAAGAGTAGCCAGTGCTCTTAACTGCTAAGCCACCTCTCCAGTCCCAAATTTGGCTTTTATACCAGCAGTAACTTTGTCTATATTGTGGGGAATTGAGACAGACTTAGAAGACTGAGCTAGAGATCATTCTTCCAGTTTCTCTTTTAAAAAGTTGGTTCATGTTAATAGAACTAATTACACTGGGGACAGCCTAGTGCCAAGGGGCATATATCTAACAGGAAACAGGATAATGCACCAAAAAGGCCCCACTATTTGACAGGTCTCTTCCTCCTGCTTTCTCTTGGACATACCTGTATTAAGGTAAACTGTGCTCTGTTTACACTTTTAGTCTCCAGAGAAGATAAAGATTCCTAGGTGAGAACTCTGGAGGACTTGGCAGGAGCTAGTCACTTTCCAGACTCTCCTCCCACTGACAGCAAAGTAAATTAAATTGTTTATACTGGACATTTGCAACTGCTTTCCATTCTTACTGGAAAATAGGAAGCCCTGTCCCTTTCTCCAATCTAGTTATTGTCAGAAACCTGGCATTTAAGAAGCACAAGGATATTTACTTGACATTTCCTGGACACTACTAACAAAAATGTTTGGGTTCTTGTTTTATTTTTTATTTCACTTCCTAGAAGACAGAAAGTAACTGTCATCTCTATAATCCAATCATAAGGTAATAAAAGTTGCTGTCTATTGGATAATTACCATACTATATGCTAGTTTTAAACTAGGTGTTTTTCAATTCTAACAACTCTTTAAGGTCTTTGTAATTCTCCCCTTTGTATCTATGAGAACAAGGAAGGTTAAGTAGCATGCCCAAGATCACATAGCTATCAAGTATTTAAAATTCAAGTTTATAGCCCTGAAACCTTCCTTTGGAGAACAGTAACGATCTTCTGGTCTCTATTTCTCTCAAAAACTTACTGCGAGAAATCTAATCCAACTGGAAAGTCCATGGAAGTGCTTTACCACTTCTCAAAAACAATATCCAATGACATGACGGTACAAAAAGAATTTGAGACCCAAGGAAAGAATGGGGAAACATGACAGCAATAGATCCCTGAAAACCAGAAGGCAAAAGGAAAGGTAGTAACTGACTTAGTAGATCTATGAAGCTGAATCACAATCCTAAGATTATTTAAGAAATAAGCCTATGCAGGGGGAGTAAAGGACAGGAAATGGGAATTTACAGCTCCCTGTACTTTTGAAAGATGAATGCAGATGATGCTAAAACCGGAGATTTAATTGCATGTCTCAGTAAGAGGCTCAATTGAGGTACCCCTCCTCTTATCCCAGTGGAAGACTAGATGTTACGAAGAGGTTGAGGCAGTGACCCTCAGTACCTTAGAGCAGAGCTGATGGGTAAGACTTCATACTGAACCCTTGGATTGGGTGAGAGGAGCTTACTGAACGTTGAACTTCTCTTACTCAGATCAGCAGTAAGAATTTTGAAAACCTGGGGTATCTGCCCTAGGAGGGAGATTGGAAGGTTTATCTCAGTGAAATGTGATCAACCCAACTGAGAACAATACTTATAAATGCTTTAGTCTTTGCACAGTTGTGCCAGGTGTCTTCCAGCAAAACGTACCAGGTAAAGTCATGTCCCTGTTCACAGAATGCTCATTTCCCTGTGTTTTGAACTTTGAACAAACAGCCCCACATCACCAAATACTCGTGGGAAAGCTTCCAGTGTGAGAGACCCAAATAATAAGCAGTGAAAGGATCTGAGATGAAGAGAAAAACAATATAAGGAGCAGAAGGAAACAGCTCCAAAAACCTGAACAGATTCAAGAAATAGACTGGAAAGGCAGCTCAGTGGTTAAGGGTGTTGCTGCCCTTACAGAGGACCCAGGATCTGTTCCCAGCACCCACATCTAGGCTGCTCAGAGCAGCCTGGAACTCCAATTCCAAGGGACCTGATGCCCTCATCCTCTTCCAGCCTCTGCATGCACTGCGTGCATGTCAAACATAGAGATAAGCGGGCACATATACATAAACCTAAATTAAAATAATTGTTTAAAAAAGAGCACTGGCTGCTCTTGCAGAGGACCCGGGTTCAATTCCCAGCACCCACATCAGGGCTAACAACTGTCTGTAACTCCAGTTCCAGGGGCTCTAATGCCTTCTTCTGACCTCTGTGGGTATTGCACGATGTGAGTGCACTTACCCACATGCAGGCAAT